GGAAAAAAGCAGGTAATAGAAACTGTCTGTGCAAACAACCAGGTATTAGATTCACCAGAAAAAGACTTCTAAATGGCCATCTGTCAACATGGTCACTGAACTAAAGGAAACCATGATTAAAGAAATAAAGGAGATGGTAACAATACTGCATCAAATAGAGTATCAACAGAAATAGAAATAACAACTCATCACTTATAAGAGTAACCCAGTAAGATTAACAGCTGATTTCTCACTGGAAACAATGGAGGCCAGAAAGCAGTGAGATAACATGTTCAAAGTGCTCTAAGGAAAACTGTCCATCAAGAAGCCTATATCCAAAAAAGCTATCTTTAAAAAATAAAAAGACTTAAAAGAAATAAAAATTTTCCCAGATAACCAAAAAAGGAAAGAATTCGTCTAGCAAACCCACCATACAAGAACTACTAAAGGAAGTTCTTCAGGCTGAAAGTGACCTCGGTGAATCCGCATGAAAAACAATGGGCACCAGTAAAGGTATCTGTGTAATTATGAGACAGTATAAATGAGTATTTTCTTTTTTAAAAACTATTTAAATAGCAATTGTTTAAAGTAACATGTATATAATGTAGGGTTGGGCCTGGAATAAATAAGAATGTAATATATGTATAATACATTTTCCAGTGACAGTACAAAGAAGGTATGTGGGAACAAAGCTGTATTACACTAAGGCAGTAACTTCAGATGGTAAAGTAATAATTATAACAATATATTGCTGGGGTTTAAGCATTAGCAAATACAATATGTATAACAATAATATTATAAAAAGGGAAAAAGAACACAGCTACACTAACATTTCTACATAGCATTGCAATTAAGCTATTGTAATCTGAAGCCGATTCTGGCTAAGTTATATGTGGTAAACCCTAGAGTAAACACTAAAATATATACACACACACACACACACATACAGTGAAAATATTATTAAAGAAGCTAAAATGCACAGACTATTAAAAATAACTATAATAATTTGCTAATGGATAGACAGGTAAAAAGACATGAAGTCTAACATCAAAAACATAAAATGTGGGAAGGGGGAGAGCAAAAATGTATAACTTTAGTATGTATTTGAAGTTATCAGCTTAAGATAGTATAAGATATTTTATGTAAGCCTCATTGGTAACCCATAAAGCAAAAAGATACATTAGATACACAAGAATTTTTTTTAGAAAGTAATCTAAACATGCCACAACAGAAAATCATCAAATCACAAAGGAAAAGAGCAAGAGAAGGAAAAAAGGAACGACAAAACAGTCAGAAGACACTGAATGAAATGGCAATATTTACTTTAAATGTAAAGGGACTCAATTCTCCAACCAAAAGACAAAATGGCTGGAAAAAGACAAGACTGAACTACATGTTGCCTGCGAGACTCAGTCAGCTTTTAGGACACGTGCAGACTGAAAAAAGGGAACAGAAAAAGATATTCCATGTAAATGGAAATCAAATGAAAGCAGAGGTAGCTATGTTTATAATAAAAGAAAATAGACTTTAAGCCAAAAACTGCAATAAGGTACAAAGAAAGTCATTACATAATGATAAAAGTTATTCCAACAAGAGGATCTAACATTTATAAATATTTATGCACCCAACATCAGAGCTCCTAAATATATAAAGCAAATATTAACAGACCTGAAGGAAGAAATAATATATCAATACATCAACAGCAGGGGACTTTAATATCTCACTTTCAATAATGAAGAGATTATCCAAACAAAAAAAGTCAGTAAGGAAACACTGGACTTAAACCACACATTAGACCAAATAGACTTAACAGAACATTCCATCCAACAGCAGCAGAGTACATATTCTCAAGCACACATGCAACAATCTCCAGTATAGATCATATACTAGGCCATAAAACACACCTTAATGAATTTTTAAAAAGATCAAAATTATATGAAACATCTTTTCAGAACACAATGGTATGATACTAGAAGTCAGTTACAAAAAGAAAACTGAAAAATTCACAAATTAAGTACATATAAAACATCAAGTTATTGAACAACCAACGGGTCAAAGAAGAATTCAAAAAATATCTTGAGAGAAATGAAAATGGAAATACAACAAATGGGATGAATAAAACTTATGAGATACAGCAAACCAATTCTAAGAGAGAAGTTTATAGCAATAAATGCCTGCATTAAGGAAAAAGAAATATCTTAAATAACAACCTTATACCTCAAGGAACTAGAAAAAAGAACAAAGTTCAAGGTTTTTAGAAGAAAATAACAGAAAACAGAGCAGACGTAAATGAAGGATACTAAAAATATAATAGAAAGGTCAACAAAATTAAGACCTTTTTTAAAAAAAAGATCAACAAAAGCAGACAAAACCTTTAGCTAGACTTAAAAGAAAAAAAAAGAGGATGCAAAGAAATAAAACTATAAAAAGGAGACATTACAACAGATACCACATAAGCACAGAGGATCATAAAGAACTGAAAACAACTGTATGCCAAAAAATTTGACAATCTAGAAGAAGTGGATAAATTCCTAGAAACATACAACCTATTAAGAAGAAACAGAAAATCTGAACAGACTTGATTATTGTAAGGAGACTGAGTCAGCAATCAAAAACCTTTCACCATCCTGGGACCAGATGGCTTCACTGGTGAATTCTAACAAACATTTAAAGAAGAATTAATACAGTCCTCCTCAAATGCTGCCAAAAAACAAACTCATCTTATGAAGTCAGCATTACCCTAATACCAAAACCAGACACAAGAAAAGAAAATCACAGGCTAACATCCCTGATGAACATAGAAACAAGAATCCTTGACAAAATATTAGCAAACAAAATTCAACAATACATTAAAAAAATCCTACACCATGGTCAAATGGGATTTATTCCAGGGACGCAAGTATGGGTAAACATCCACTAGTTAATCAGTGTGACACACCTCATTAACAAATGAAGGCTAAAAATCACATGATCATCTAAATAAATGTAAAAAAAAAAAGTGACGAAATTCAACATTGATTCATGATAAAAACTCTCAACAAATTGGGTAAAAGAGAGAATGTACTCAACATAATAAAGGCCATCTGACAAGCCCAAAACAACATCACACTCAAGAGTGAGAAGCTGAAAGCTTTTCCTCTAAGATCACAAAGAAGTAAACAGTCTAAATGTTAACTAGGAATCAGTAATGGTCCATTCATATTACGACCTATTATGCAACCATTAAAAATTACACTTGGTGAGAATCTTTAATGACACAAGGAAATATTTAAGTGTAATCCTGATTAAGTGAAGAGATAAAAATAGATATGAAATATACACACTAAAATCTCAAGTAACTTGAAGTGTACATATACATTATATATAAGAAGGGGAACAAAAGTACAGAAGAAATAACATTAAAAAGTTTAGTCATTTCCACGATAGGAGTATGCTGACTTTTATTTTTTCCTTTAGACTTTTAGATGATTTCCAAATTTTCAACATGCACATTTATTTATTTAGAATCCATCTCGTCACAAAAAAGTAGTTGAAAAAAAGAAAGCCAACATTAACTACACTTATAACTGAAGCATGAGTCAATCTCCTAATGCTATTTGCCAAAGTGGAAAGTTAAGACATCACACACTAAGCATATTGCAGCAATGTTTACATTATCAAATAATTTCTACCTATCAATTGTATATTAATTAGAGTTCAGTCTAAATGCGTAAGGGCATACAGAAAAACTGAATGACATCAAAATAATGAAAAGATAAGCCTTCCTCCCAGTCCATCTGGCCTCTGATCTCATCTGCCCCTGCTTACTCTAGCCAGTGGTTTCCACCTTAGGACCTTTGCTTGGAATGTTCTTCCCTACAGAGCCACGTGGCTATTCCTTCACCTCCTTTCACGTCTTGATTCAAATGTCACTCTCTTAATAAGGCCTACATGTACCACCCTGTCTAACACCAAAACCTGCCCTCTGTCCTGCCACCCTTCACTTTGTTCCTTCCTCTTTCTCGGCAGCATTTATCATTTTCTAACAAACTACATTTAAAAAAGTGTCCATTACTTAATGTCTTTCTCCTCCTACTGCAAAGTAAATCCAGGAAGAGGATTTTGGTGGCAGTGGAACCTGCCGATTTGGTCACTGATATGTCAAAGGAGTCTGACACACAGCAGGTGCTCAATAAATATTTGTTGGATACATGCATGTACTAATGATCTGTCAAGGGACAGAGTCAATAACACAATCTCTAACAACTGCATCTACCGCTTAAAATCAGACAATTTTCTGTTGCATGTGCAGTCAAACAAAATATATGGCATGAGTTCTTAAAAGAAAGTTTGGCCATCTTTATCATTCCTCCGTGTTTCAGTTTGTGTTTACTGAAAACTTGCAGCCGACTTATTGAAAAAGTACCAATTTAATTTTGTTAACATTGTGCAGTACAGACTGTATAACCAGGGAAGCAAATTAAAAAGAATGTTTATGTATCAGGCCAAATATGTTGAAATGCTATACACAAGACCCAGTTCTGTTCTGGATTATTAAGCAAAAACAGCTTCTAAAATTATGTTTGCTGTTATTACATACTTATATACATTGGAACAGTTCATATCGAGAAAGTCCAAATCCTGATACAAATTTAATAGGTGATAACCCCCATAAATTTCGATTTCAACTGCTATTTTTTTAGATTGCAAATGCTCATTGTCCCACTAAGACAGCATTCTGGGAATAGGGAAGCCTAGCCAAATATCAAAGGCCTGGCCTATATTCTGAATCAATAACCACAGTTCAAACTGCCTAATATTGGAAATGGGACTCAATCAGAAGTTAATTCCCTGTGATTTCATAAATAACCAGACTATCCCTATTTATTTATTTTTAAAGCAGTTCTCTATTATTTTATAATGCTTTACTCTCAAGAGTTTGAGGTCTAGACCCCTTGACAGGGTCTCTACAACTCCTAAGTAAAACAGATCTCATAGAACGCAAGGGAAAAGGCTCCCCAAAGATGTTGTTCAGCCAATACCTCCGAATGACGTTCTACACTTCCAGTGTCTGATCCAGAGTGCTGCTCATTTACATCATCCTCAACGTCTGACCCTGAATCCCGTTCATCCTGTACTGGGGTAGCGCCACCATCATCTGCTCAAAAATAAAACAAAAACCCACTTAAGGTGTAAGATGGGTGACATCTACAACTGAAATGAATACAATGAATCAAGAACAATGTAAGAGCAAAGGTTACCACTCGTGAAGCATAACTAACGATGCTAAGTGGTGAACAAGGCAACACTATCATACTTATATGAATCATAAGCATCATAAGTATCACAACAATCATAACGTGTACTGTTGAATCATGTGGCAGCGAATACATCATTAAGGGAATATGACACTTCAGAAGTATCACTAAGGCCAAGTCAACAAACTGTAGATAACAGCGTGCACTCTATTTCGACCTTCTGTTAAAATAACTGAGTCTATTTTCTCCACGGCACTTACTTACCACTTTCTAATGTACTACGTAACTTACCAAGTTAATTCTGTGTAATGTGGGTCTTTCCTCACTTGAATGCAAGTGCCAGAAGAGCAGGGATTCTCGTTCACTGCTGAATCCCTGGAGCCCAGAACACTGCCTGGGACGTGATGTACAGGAAGTATTCGTTTATGAGCGAAGAGCACAAGGCACTCCAGTTCAGAAATAGTGTAACCTCCTTAAAGTAAAGCTTACACGACTATACTACTACAAAACGAACTGCTACCTACTTTTAACTGATACTTTAAAAATACAAAGCAAAGTCGTACTGAGGAATTTAGGGCTGTTGGAGGATGTGGGTAGACTCGGTTAGATGTTTAATAAAAATAATACATTTTTAAATGAACCAGACAACTACAGGAAAACCAAATAACTGTGTAAGAATGGAATTACTATCATACTAATGAGCTACTCTACTTGGCTAAAGAGTAAAGAATATACATATATAATATTTAATACTTTAATTATATAGTTAAAAGTTTTGAAATGCAACAATTATGCTCCAACGGTTAGAATATGGGGGAGAAGAGGGTACAGAAGAGGCTAAAATCTTGTCCCAGTGTAACAGGAAATCATTACAGAATGCCTAAAAATGATGCAGCAAGAGATAGGATAAATTAGGAATACAGAGGTAAACATCAAAAAGTGGCTAAAAGAATGAAAAAGTCAGGGAACTGCTAATTTTTCATGTCTTTCAGCACTTATATACACGTATTACGTATGACTTCCAAATAATTTAAAAACAGAAATGCAAACTGTCTTGAAAACTTTAGGGAAACGTTTAAAGCAGAACAGCAGGGTATGTTTGGAAATGTGCACTCATTACTATTCGCTGTCATATAATAAGAAGTGAACCCGAAACAGAAAAGAGGTTAACGTTTAGAAAATTATTTAAGCACTTTTAATTTAGAATACTCAGTGGAACTAGGACACAAAGGGAAAGCAAACTTAACGTTTTTATTTCCCACAAGGTCCTGTCTTATTCCGTCTTTGGATCTCCGGTTACTAGCACAGTATTAGCTCAGGGGGGGCCCGGTGTTTACTAAGTAAACAGGAAAGAAAGGAGAACATACTTCAGTGAGCAGAAGAAAGATCTCAAGGTGAAGAAAAGGCACAAAACCCACCAGTAAGTCTCAGAGGTACGCGCCTTAAAGTATTTATACAACTCAAAAATGAGGGTTCTACGCTTTTTTTTTTTTAACGGAAAAACTAGTTTGCACGCGAGACCAAACTAGTCCCAACTCAGAGTGAAAAGTCTAGACAGGACACCTCCCTTGGATTCTCGAAAAACACACTCAACTCCTGAAAAAAAAAATCCCCTATCAGGAGAGACCTTCCCCACTACTTTCCACGCAGTGAGCGCTAAATACATGGAAGTGGCTTTCCAAGTTCAGCGAAATCCCTCCCCGATTCAGAAGACGGCTGTCCCTCTAGAATCCCCTCTCCGAGGTTCTAACTGGGTCCGCAGCCGGCAGGCGGAAGGTCCGCGCTGGGCCTCATAGACCCCAAAGGGCCCAACCCGGGGAGGGAACGTCTCCGGGGCCTCCCTCCCTTCCTGCGGGGTGCGAGGTCAAGCTCCGCCGAGTGACCGCTCCGCCCCCAGCCCTGTCCCCAGGTCCCGGCCCCACCTGACTGGTCGCCACCGTAATATTCCGAGTCCATGGCAGGCGGCTCTCGGCGGGGAGTGTCTGCGCCCCGCGCCGCCCCCGTCACCTCCTTCCCGGCGCGGTGACCACCGATGGCGCGGCCCAGCGCTCACAGGCTCCCGCCCGATCGGAGGGTTTGGAGGCTGCGGAGAGGAAGACAGCAGTAACTGCAGACGCCAACACTCGGACCTAGATATTTGGGCGCAAAAGGCAGGACCCGGCAGGCCGGCCAGGCGTGTGGGTCGGCGCTCTACTTCCCAGAAACACCTCTGGGGCCAAAATGGAGTCTACCCGCGACCCTCAAAAGAACGCAGCGCGCAGGCGCAGTCGCCCCTCATTCGGCCAATGAGAAGGCGCAGCGGTAATGACGCACTCCAGGCCGGAAGGGAGACTGCCGGGAAATTGAGGGAGCGCTCTGGTGGCAAAGACTTCCCTCAGGGGAAACAGGTCTGTTCCCCGTGGAGATGATGATGTTACTTTATTGGTTCTCCGTCCGCGCCTTTGTTTCAGCAACTTCTGAGCTACTCTTCCGAGAAAATGAAGAACTCCTAAAATTAAATTTTCCACCATGAGCCAGCATCGTTCCCGTCATGCAGCGAGGCGCTCGATTCCCGCCCTGAGGACGGGAGGCGGTGGCGCATTGCACTCTGGGACTTGTAGTTCGGAGCCTGTGACTGGCCGGGAGGGTTGATGCGTTACTAACCCGCATGATCAAAAGGGCTCCTTGTCAAGGCCTCTTTCCTCCTTTCTTCTTTAGAATAACGAGGTAATTTCCATCTTAAGAAGCCATTTGGTCAACAATAAGAAGTACAGGGTTTTGCCGCCAGAAGGGCCCTCTGATGACGTCTTGGCAAGAGTGATATTGTTGAATTTTACTTGAGCCCTATAAGCTCCTGGGAAACATTGGTGGTTAAGAAACTTCCTGACCTATCAGTGTTCCCAGGATGGCTCACTGCAAGGAACATCCTTCTCCCTATCTCTTAGAGAAAACTCACTCTCCATTCTGAGTCCCATAAGACTTATAGATGACCCCCAAGGCCAAAGACCTTTCACCTTTCTTCTGAACGTGCTCATAAGGTCAAGCTCAGATCCCCCAACTTCCTGTTCACGCCTTTGCCACTTCAAAACTAGCTAAATACAGAAATAAACATTTTCTCTTCACCTGACTGATGGAAACTTCTGATTGCAAACCAATACCTACTATAAATCATCCACCTTTCTCCCTACGAAAGCCGGAGACAAAACTACCTTGCCTAGGCACTCTGACCTTCGTATCTGGAGTGCTCTCTCTATTGCAGTACCCCAAATAAAGTGCACTTCCTTGCTCGTTTGTTTTTGTCTTAAATAAAGAGGACAATGTTACTGCCTTTTGGTTGGAGGAGAGCCAGAGGAAGTGTAAGCAAATATCCCCCAGGAGGTGTAAACTTGCAGATATAGGGCCTTTTGTTAGTTGGCAAAGCATATATCTTGGCCTGAATCTCTGGGCATGTCTAGCCTGTTGTAAGGCCTCATGGGGGTGCCCTGAAAGGTCCACCTCCTATCTTGGAGTTGAGATATGTGGATTCTCTGATGCTAGCTCTGCTGTAAATTCTCAGAATGGCCTTAGTTAATCTACATCCCAGCGTTGATAATTCTGGAACCCTTCGTTAGCCAGTCAGAACATGCTGGCAGAACCCAGTTCTCGGCTCCAGAAAAGGAAACATGAAGGGAAGGAGGAGAGAGGGCTCCTTTCTCTCTGGAAATTCTCATTTTCTTGCAAGAGATTTCGTGGGCGTTCTTTCCCTGTTTAGGGGAAACCAGCTTTGAATTCCAAGTCTGACCTTTAGTTGAAGGGATGACTTCTCAGGCTGTTGCGAGAATCGTAAGAGCAAGGAATTAACAGTGTCTGGAACCAAAGGTACAGAATTTAAATATTCACTTCCTTCCATTTGGTAGAAGAGACACCAGGATCTAAGCCCTCTTTCAAAGTGAGTGCATGAGGGTGTACCCGTGAAAATAAGGCAAGGTGAGGAGGGCAGAAGTCCAGGAAGAGGTTCAGTGGGAGGGAACCCAGTGCAAATCCTGCTAATACAAGTGTTGTAATTTCACCAAAGGTACATGACAACAGCCATAAAAGTAATTGGGCTAAACAATACAATTACAAGAGAATAGTTGCTGAATTTTAACATAAAGATTTTAACTGTCCTGTTGGTTTGGAGAATGGAGAGGTTGAAGTAGACTGAACACACAGTAATGTGCTGAGCCCCAGAAGGCTGCAAGAAAGCATCAGATCTAGTTTTTGTACTGAAGAAGCCAATAATTCAGTGACACGGGGCACACTTTTGGAAATACACATAGAGTCTTAGTTAAAGTATTGCACTTATAAATGCAAGCACAGCTCCAGGAGAGTTTTCTAGAGCCCCCCCTTTCACCAGCCGGCTGTCCCTCAGAGCTCCCAGTGGAGAAATTCTGGAGCAGCACACATGTACTTCTCTGAGTCTTGGCTGCTTTGACATTTTTCCAGTCCTCTTACCTGACTCCAGCCCCAGCACAGCTGGTCCATGCTGGTAGGGGCAGAGAGACACCCAGAAGGGAGGCTGTTTTTCACACCAAGGATACTAAGGGCAGAGAAGAGAGGAAGGGAGAGGTGAGCTTGGAGCATTCCAGAACTCTCTTTCCCTTGACTGATAACCCAGAGACACTGAGTGCCCTTGGTGGATGTAGGATTTATTCTGCCAGACCCTGTCAATTGCTGAATGTGTCTGGGAGTTAAATGTCACATGATACAAGGAACAGTCCGGCACCGGCAGAGCTTCAGGCTGGGAGCTGAGACATCCGGGTTCTCGGTCAAGCTCTGAGTTTACTGTGTCAAATGAAGGAGTCTGAATCAGATTTCAAGTCTCCTTAGTTTCATTATTCTATGTCAGAGAAGCCAAGTCTCCAAGTCTGACCCTCCTTCCTGTGCTTGAGCCCATAGAGGGCGCTGCTGGTGAAGGAACCAGTGAAACAAGGGCGTTCTAAACCTGCTCCCCGGCTGTGTGTGCTGTTCTCACACATCCCGGCCTCACAGCTCACTAGGACACGTGCGAGATTTGTCCTGCCAAGTCGTCTGTGATAGTGAAAAGTGGGGCTCGCCTGAAAGCCCATTAATAGTGGATAATGAGTCACTACGTCAGTACCAAGGCACATCACACAGGCACTGATACAACTGAATTGGATCTTTAGCTCTCACGTGGAAGGATGGCCGGAGCATATCAAGTGAACAAAACAGTCATAGAAGACTACAAACAGCACAACTTTATTTATGTGAACAACCAAAACGGCAAACAAAAACCCAACCTAAAAATTTCTGAAATGAATAAAGTTGGGAAGGACTTTCCAACAAAGATTGAAAAGCCATAAAAGATTGAAAAATTTGGCCACATAAAAACAAAAACTTTAACCAACTATACTTCAATATAAATAAATAAATAAATAAATAAGCAAGCAAGTAAATAAATAAATAAAAACCTTAAAAGAATAAAAAGGAAAAGTAAAAACATGCATAGCACAAGCATTGCACTATTAGCAAAACCAAAAGGTAAATGATTAGGAAGTAAAAAAAAAAAATTTTTTTTTTCAATTTGTATCATAGACCAAGGGCTAATCTCCCTAATGAGTATAGAGCTGCTAGAAATCGATAAGGCTAATGACTCAATAGGAAAGTGGGCAAAGAATGTGACAATTCACAAAAGGGAAAATATTAATGGCTCTAAGATACAGGAAAAGATAGTCACCCTAAGATAAGGTCAAAGCAAATTAAAATCATATTGAGATACTATTTTTCACTTCTCAGATTGCAAAAATCTGATAACATTCCACTGGTGAGGCCCTTTCATAAGGTGCTGTTGGGGATATACTAGTACAGCCCTCTACAGTAAGCAATCTGGCAATATTTATAAATATTACAAATGCATATGCCCGTCCGCATAGCAATTTCACTTCAGAAAATGCATCCTACAAATATACTTGACTACAGAATTATTCACTGCAGCAAAATACTGGAAATAACCCAGATGTGCAAACAGGAATGATCACAAAATTATGATACATCTGTACAATGGAATGTTATGTAGTTATAACAAAAAGCAAGGAAACTCTCTTATGTACTGATACATAAAAAGATTTCTAAGCTGTAAAAAGATGCAAAGTGCAGAACAGTGTTAAGCTGTGCCATCTTTTGTAAACAGGGGAGGATAACATGCATTTGTTGTTGCTTGTAACTATATTTTTAAAATTTGAAAATTGTATAAGAAACAAACAATTGTATAAGAAACAAATTGTCTGTCGGGGATGGGGGAAGGAGGACAAGGAAAGATAGTAGGAATAAGCTTTTAAGTTTTTTAATAACACAGAACACTTACTCTTACTCCACGTGATAATTTTGTCATATTGTATCTGGAAAAATTGTTAAGCAGAACATTATTTAAAATGGAGCCAGGAAATTACAAAAGAGAGCTCTTATACCCTACTGCTCCATGTCAACTGCAGACCCAACAGAAAGAGGAGCGTCTTTGCATCTCCAGCAGGAAGGTTACTCTTTACTACCTAGCAGGAGGAAGGAAGGGTTTCTGCTTGCCTGGCAACAGCCCAGCCAATGAAAGATGGTCACAACTCAACCGATGAAAAGCCACTGTGCTTCAAACTCCCAGTTCCTTCCAGTGGACTCTGTTTAACAGCCCCTCCCACTTCCCTTTCTCCTCTGTTACAGAACGCTCGTTTCCTTTGTTCTCTAGACTTGCCTGTGGTTTGCCATAGAGTGCATGTCCTGAGTTGCAATTCTTTGCTGTTCCTGAATAAACCCATTTTGCTGGTGAACTAACTGGTGGTTTTATTGTTGTAGGTCAACATATCAAATAAGTTTACAGCCCCCTAATGGTTACAGCCCATAATTTGAAAACTGGAAGTGCTGGTCTCCTGTTGCCCATGGTGTAGAAGCTACCCAGACCAGTTTGCCATGGTTGGGCCGCATAGCTAGGCCCAATGATCCAGGCAGAGAGTTCTTCATGGATTCTGGTCTTGCTTTGTATAGAAACCGTAGATGTGTGCCCTGCACTGAGCAAAGCCTACCTCAGTGCACAATTATTTGTGTGTGGCTGAAAATCATTCAAGTAACAAAAGGAGTCTTTGTTTTTGTATCGTTTTTAGTTTGTTTTGGTTTGGGTTTGTGGTGAGCACCACATCACTGGAATGGTGGGAGCAGCAACTACTGTGTGTCATCAAGGGTTTCGCCTCTACAGATTCAGTGCAATCCCTCTCATAATCCCAGT